GAGGAGCGGTTGCCATATGTCCTACCAAACCAGCTCCATTGACAAAAGCCAAGGCTGCAGTCTCACTGAACAGATGAGGTTCCCAACCTAAAATCAATGGTTAGCGTGAAATGGATAATATGTTTAATTGGTAATATCATCGCCGCAGCCTGCCTGGTTGTTGTATACATCACGGGTAAGCAAGTATGTAATTAAGAGGCAAGAAATGCACATGCTGTAATTATCACTGCAGTTCCAAATGCCACGATCAGCTTATTATGGCAGGAGAGAGAGTAGAGAGGGAGTGGGAGCGCAGACGGGACTGCTAGGAGGTCAAAGGTTATCCACAGAAGGCAGAGATGGAGAAAGTGAGTTAACATCTGGTGTCTGAGGGTTTAGAGCCGGGCCCTCTTCCCCCTGTCCCCCGACTGACAGGAAGGCAGTTTCCCTGCCGATAAATTGCGAGCAACTTACTCTTAATTGAATATCCAGATTGAAGGAAGAGTTCCACATTTTTCCTGTTGCGCTTCTGTTTCTCAGCCTTTCGTAGGGAAAAAAAAAGCTCAGCACAGTCACGATCGCAAGTGAGCAACTCTTACCTCCCCCCCACCCCCCCTCCTCCCTCTCCTTTCTCTGGCAGCTAAACTACTCTGAATAGCACATCATATGGATTTGTAAAGGACCCAAAGTTGGCAGTGACAAGTACAAACGCCTCCTGGCAGTGTTGACACTTTAAAAATACAGGAGTAAAAATATGAGCTGGTCACCTTCATACCCCCCCCACCTCTCACATCCTCCTTCTTCATCATCTTCTTCATCTTCCTCAGTCGGATTTACTCTCTAAAATAAAATCCCTCCTCTGCTGGTCTTCTGTTTTTCTTATTTGTCCCTCCTCCTTTAATGCTTTAATGGACCTAGGAATCATTCTGCTGTGTTTGGCTAACAGCACCAGATAATGTGAAGAGGACTGATGGGCATGACTGGTTTTAATTTATTTTACTGTGACATGTTGGCACACATGTATAGATGTCATTTGTCATTTTTGAGGACTGACATCATCACATCACCTCTGTATACAGACAGCATGAAATGAGTTATGCTTCAAATAGGGCTTTATGTATTTAAACCCTATTTCTGTGGTGTTCTTCTTTTGTAATTTCATATAATTATTTCTGAAAACATCACAGAACTCAGACAGGAGCTATTAAGAAGGGAAGATTTGTGTTGAGAAGATTAAAAAAGCTTGCAACAAATCGATTGTTTTCACATCAAAATTGCAATATGCAAAAGAGCAACTTTCAGATCGCAAGAGCTGCAATTTATTTAGAAGTTACATAATTAACAGTGTCTTGAAAATCTGTTTAAAGGTGACCTGTGGAGTTTCTATGAGCTAGTCCCTGTTCTGTTGGTCCTATGCCAATGCTGTCACACTATTCCACTAATGTACATGTGGTAGTAATGTGAAATGCAAAGGCAGGAAAGAACTGACTGAAAGAAAGACGGTTTGCTAGAATATAGGTTTAAAACATGCAAATGTGTTCTGAGGAAGGAAATGCATTTAAACTTCAAGGAGACACACAATGTGCGTTGTTGAGCAACACTGCCATGACCAGTTTGTTCACTAGAAAACCCCACAGGACAGCTTCACTGCTGCTGCTTGTTTTGAGCAGCTGTAAACTGTCTCAGGTAGATTTACTCCGCTGTTACTCATTTACGTTAGTTCTGTGAGTTAGCAAAACATAGAAGACATTTTGGATGTTGTCTGGTAAATGTGCTCTGCCTGCCAGTATCTACACACTCCCACTGGGCCTAAGAGGAGTTTGTGGATGAATGCAGGGAGGCATGTTTTGTTTGCTGTGTCTTTTTGCTGTTCATAAAAGCAACTAACATTACTGTGGCAATTTATCTTGATCAACATAATTGGCCAATTATGTAGCTGTTATCAATATATATATAACAGCATGTCAATATTATATTTGGATAATAATTATTAGTGAGTATACCACTGCTGTAATATTTTAATAAATGTCTTATGACCATAGTCATAAAAGCACAGGTGTTACCCTGAAACTAAGGCTGTGTTCAGACTGCAGGCCAAAATGACCCAAATGTCATATCCTTTTTTTTCTCTCTCACATGTGACTCAGGTCTGATTTATTTTTTTGCTCATATGTGGCTAAGATCTGTTTTTTTTTTTTTTCTTCATGACAGCGCGAGCAGCACAAATCACATGGAATCTGAGGAAATCAAATGGAGGTCCGATTCTCTATGTGACCTCGGTGTGAACAGTCATATCAGAATTCATCTGACTTTTATGTTCTGTAGGTTGACATTTGTGATGCTGGTCACTTCAGGACCATGACCTGCTCGGACTGGAATCTGCTACGGACCACATTCAAAAAACAACGTAAACAGCCAAACAAAACAAAAAAATCAAATCTGAACAATAAATCAGAATTGAGCACTAAGGCTTGCAGTGTGAGCGTAGCCTGAATCAGCTAAATGGAATTCAGCCATGTCATTGTTTCACCGCTGCTCTCCCTGCTGTGAACATTCATAAAGGACCTGACTGAGTTTATGATCGTGGTCATACCTTGCATAATACATATATGGAGAAAGAAATGACTATTAGATCATTTCCTAAAATTGCTCGACCCAAGTGAGTCTTTCTCCATCCAAGTGTAACATAATCTGTCGGTATTAGTTTTCTCAGCCCCCCTCTCCATCTTGTTTCTCTACCACCGTTCCCCATGGTGGCAGGAGCGCTGGCTCAGCACATCCTCCTGGCTCTGTAGGGAAGACCAAGCTGAACTCATAGGCAAGACGGTCCAGCTCTAGGCCTCTGTGGCCGTCTCGCTTCAGGCTACCCGGCGGCTCTGCACAAGCCTGCCGTGTGCC